CTGAATAATTTTCAGATATTTGAATTATTAAATGAAAACTTAAAACAGTTATAATTAGGAACTGAGAACCATATAAACCTGTAGGCTCCAGTCCACACACCACAAACAAATCCCTGTTGACGCTCAAGCTCTGCTGGGCCGAAGTCAACAACACACTCAGCTTTATCACTCTGGGCTCTTGGCGTTCCCAACGTTCCCATGCTGTCTGCATCCAGCTGTTTCTGTCCTGGGATGGAGCCTCCACTTTACCATTGCGCCTCATCCTTTAAAAGTAATGTGCATGTGCAGGATGTAGACTGCGCTGCTATTCTCCTCCTCTGACACACAAACGGAAATCAACTGATTTCGCAAAAACCAATAAGTGGGATCAATAAGAATTCCAAGGAATTGGACTGCTGGGAACTGGTTCTTGGTTCCCATCCCTAGTTTTAATGGAGTTAAACTGTTTAATGATAAAATATCAGTAGTTGTAATTGGATATCAACAATAGATATCAACAATAGACACTTACATTGGTGAGAATAACAAACATTAAGAACTGACTACTGAGAAAATTAGAGTTTTTATTTAATTATGAATATCTTGACTTGGAAATTTGCTGTGGGCACAAATCCAATTCTTGGCGTTAGTAAATCCATGTTTACACACTATTTCCTGTGGAAAAATAAACCAGGTCTGCTAAAAACCATCATAGTGTGACTTTCTCCCTTCTTCAAATCTGTGAACACTCAGAGAATTTCATGTTTAACTGCAGAACCAAAATATAGCAGCGGAAGTAATTATTGCGGACTCTGCAACAGTTACAAAACATAAAGTCTCTAATTTTTTATGGTAGTTTCATTTTAAGAGATACAGACAGAAAAACACATTAGATAAGCAACACGAGCTGATTGTGTTCATCTGGACGTTTCATCATCATCAGCTGACTTCTTCAGTCTCAGCTGACTGCAGGTTTCAACCTCATAAACAGGATATTTGCACAGTGACTGAAACCAGCAGCACTGAATGAACACTGGGCTGGAGGCCAGCTTACGATCATTCATAATTTGGGTGTTGGTCTTCCCGAGTTTTTATTCAATCACAGAGTCAATCTAAAGCAACGAAAACTATTGCCATGAATTACTGTAACGGTGCAGGTCGCTCAGCACGACATAAACGATGGAGCATGAGATGACGTTTTCATATTTGACCGCACAGCAATTTATCTCCAACCATGGAAATCAGAGCCTGAGCAAACTTACAAAATCAGGTGTTTAATTGATTTTCCTGCTGTAGTCTAAAAACGCGCTTTACATGAACACAGAGCGGAGCCAATTTGGCTAACTGGATCACGAGACTCTGGCCGGAAGTAACACACGATGAAAACAAAGTGTCACGTTACCTGCAAATACGTGTGCGGCAGACTGTGCAGCACGTCCACACAAAAGACGAGCGCCACGGAGCACAGAATGAACCTCCCGTTCATGTCCACGGATGTCACCAAAATCACGTCACAGTACAAGTGGCCAGAAGATCCTTTAGTTTTGAAATTCCCGACTACGCCTGCGTCGCACGTCATATGACCCAACGTCGCAGTGATGTGTTTAAGTGCCTTCTTGAATAAGTCGGAATTTCCAGGTTCACAGTCCAGTACCCGAGTACGCGGAAACAAATCTCCGAGAATACTTTTGTTCTTTGTAGAAGTAACATGCACAACATTTAATACATATAAAAACACTCTCTCAAAATACTCTAAATACTCTTGTACTCTAGTCAGTATCTGCATTAAAATTACCTGACAGCAAAATGAAAATAAAGAAAAATGAAATGTCACCGTATACATGGTACCGTGAGTCTTGAGCCAGCTCTCAGTTTTCTGGTTAAATATTTCTGCTTGAGAAATGGGAAAAATATTGAATTACTGAAAGCTCTAAAGAGATTAAAAGTCAAAATTTGGCGTGACCGACAGGGCCTGAATTCTCTTTAGTAAGTTTCTTTATAATTTCTTGAATTTATCCAACATTTCTCGAAGCTTTTCCGAGTTCTTTGGGAATTGATGGTTTTTCTTCTGTTATCTGTTAGGATGATCTCATGCAGATTGAATAATGCTGAAATCCAGGTTGTGGGAGGTTAATCTATGACTCACAGCTACATTGTGTATTTTTTGTGCAGGTTTTTTTCTGCATTGAGAGATTTCTAGATCATTTTCTTGCTGAAAAATTACACACCTGAAAAACCAAAAAACTACAGATTGCTGTAGATCAGGGGTCTCAAACTTCACGTCTTACTGACGGGAAGAAATATGTGGTTTCTCCCTTAAAGTGACTTTTTTTGTTTGTTGTTGAGTTTCCTGTTTCCTGCTCCTGACTTTTACATACTGATGATGATTGTCTCAGATAATTTAGGATGTCCAATGCAGAGATATCCTAAACTTCCCTCACTTTTAGCAGCAGCAGCAACTGCAACAAAGTGCTTACATGTTTCTTTAATGGGAAGGGCCATGATAAGACTCGTGGTTCACATAAACAGTAAAACACAACCAGTGCAGCCGGTTGACCCAGTAAGGTATGAATAAAAAAGTCATCCTTTTCCTTGTTTTGCAGCTATATGGCAGTTTTAATGCCTCTGTTAGCTTCCTATTGTGCAGAGCTGTGATTTCTGGACACAGATGACTTTGTCTCCTCGTTTCCTTCTGTGAAATATTTCAGGTAAAGGTAGGTCAAAGGTCAGTGTGAATAGATTCAGCTCAGAACTGCTTGGAGATATAATGTAAGCTACACCATAATTATAGGTAATATGATATGACTGTAAACACTGGACAATGTGAGGTATTTCATTGTTATTTTAATGATCAGCTGTATAAATTAAAACAAACATAAATCCACTGACTCAGACTTATAAAGATATATGATTAGAATCAGGACATAATGTCAAACAGGTGTGCTTAAATCATGGGCAATTCATGTATTTTGTAACCGCCGTTCTTACAGTACGTGCAGCGTTAACAGGTGGATTCCAGTCATTGTGCCACTGTGGCTTTATCTCAGGAATGTGAATAGAGAACCTCTTTGTTGCAGCTGGGTGGAGACTTCTGAGGAGACCAGTATGTCTTACTCACACTTCCCTGTGAGCACAGACAGGTCCAGAGGACGAGAGACGAACGCTGACAGAACTCAAAGCAGCCGCTCATCCAGGAACAAAAGGTAAGCAGCAGTCTGAGTGTGGAGGGATATTTCAGAGAGAAACGTTTAAACTTGTGTGGAGTGAAGTAAGCAGCAGGTACGAGGAAGTGTTCCAGGAAAATTGTGCTGAATGTTACAGATCAGTGAACTTTCTCTCTAGCTGCATCTTCTCCTTCTTTTTGCTGCGTTCGATATCATTTAACCACATCACTGTATTTCTCTAATACCTGTCTAATTGTCTTCCTCTTTTACATCACCTTACTATTCTCCATCAAACTACTTCTTTCTTTCCTGCCTTAAACATCCTTTCATTGATCCTTTTACATTTCACCCCAGCTGTCATAGGGTGAGAGGCAGGGCACCGGTCTGTTACTGAAGTAACACAGAGACACAGACAACCATCTGTGCTCACATTCACACCAGTTTCTCTTCAGCCTGACAGAAGTTCCTCTTGTTCTTAACACAAATAGTTATTATTGTCATCGATATTCCTAAAATGTGGGAATAATGACAAAATCTTCAGACTTGCTCTCAATCTACATATCTCTATCTCTATATATCTTATATACAGTGTTGGGGAGTAACGGAATACATGTACCGCCGTTACGTATTTAAAATACAAAATATGAGTAACTGTATTCCGTTACAGTTACC